CCTTCCAGTGCTTGTATTTAGTCTTATCCAGACAAGGTTGTAAACCATGAGATGAAAAGCCCTCCGGGGGCGTCTGCAACCGCTCATGTGCCCATGCTGACAGCATATGGTTTCAAAAAGCACCCCCAAGCTCCGCCTCCCCACCAGGAAGCCCCCAATTAAACTGATGGGCAACCCATTGCCTCAGGCAACAGCCTTGACAGTAACCAGTGCACTTGGTCCCTAGCGCGTTGCTGCCTTAGCACAGCAGGCATTCCTTTCCAGTACTCCACTGCCTGGCACCTCATCAACACCAATCGCTACAAGTTGGCCAGCACCGAGGAGCCCGTGTTCCCAGCTGGCGTACACATCCAACTGGCAGTCACGCAGACGGTGCGGCATACCAGTGCAAACAAGCCGCCGTCATGGCCTACCTGGCGAGCAAGAATGGGGTCTAACGACCCCGGGCTGCTTGTGGCGGTCATGTGCGGTAGCCTGAGACCCAGAAGGAGAAGGCGTTTGGTGGGAGAAGTGTTGGCTCTCTAATTTGTCCTCCTGTTTGTAGGTACTCTGTGTGTGGGTGCGGGTTGCAGGTTGGAATTCTGGCTTGTCTCGATGGCTCCTAGCATGCATCGCATATCAGCCATTTTGTTGTTCCCATTTATGAATTTTGCCATTTGCGCCATTTTGCACTACAAGGCCATTTGTGCCACCACTGGACCGGTCGTGGGCCACTGCCACATGTGACATAAGACGGGGTTAGGGGCCCCTAATGTAAGTCATCACGAGGTGCTGACTGTCGTTACCCTGGCGGCCCGGTGAGGTGAAGAGGGGGTAACCATGTGCAGTAGTCAGAGTTGAGCACGATCGTTACCCGGATGTAACGACGTCCCCGGGGTAACGATTGTCATTACATGGTCACGGAGATCGTAACTATCATTTCGGTGCCATAGGGAACCTGGTCCGACCCACGTGGTGTGGCACCATACTAAGAGCACAGGACCCCCCATCCAGCAACTGGCAGCCAGTTGACATCGAGGCGATGCAAAAAGAGATGGGAGGGGCGGAAGGGTGCGCCAAGCAAGGGGTGCAATGGCAAGTGTTAGGATAGCCATGGGGGTGCTACACTACGCATTCTAACATGGAATGCTCCCATCGCCTACGGCAATCGCCTGGAATTAATTGCGCAAGGAGTTATATGTCCTGGCGATTACGACATTATAATTGCTACTGAAAATAAAGTCCTTCCATGCAACCTGTCCAGGCCTTTGGCGCCGTGTGGGAAATGCCTCGCGGGTGGCAAGGGTCTCTTGCTGGGCTGATGCTATCTTGCACCGTCCACGTCTGAAGTGGATGAAGACTTAAAACTGGCGGACACAACCTGGCCGACAGCATTGCTGGACCGCTGGGTGACGCAATCTATGCATTGCGGAGGGATGGAGAGAGATTCTGTTTCTGTGGGAGATTTTACTGCACGTGTAGGTGCGGCTAAGGAGACTGATTACGCATATCAAGCACCGTTCTCGCCTTTTGATAAAGAGCATTGCATTACACCAGCCTCTGAGCTCAGGGCGCTGGACCAAACAATTGATATTGTCGGCAAGAGGGTCCTGCACATGTGTTGTCAGCATGACTTAAGCATTTTCAATGGGAGAGTGGACGGGGACATCCCAGCTGGCCACACGTTCACTGCTAGCAGGGGCAGCACGGTCGACCTATTCACTGGGTCGCAAACCCTGCTTGTTACTAGCCCGCACCTGAGTGTGATGCGCAACAATGCATGGGGTACATGACAGTCCAAGTTCAGTGACCATTGTCTGGTGACTTTGATAATCCCCATCCCCGCAGCAGGACAAGGTGCCTCTCATAAATTTGTTTGATAATGGCGGCAAGAAGCGTTTCCAAGCCCTGTTTGCTGACCCCGGGGGCCATGTTGTCGTATGTTGCCATGTAGCATGTTGCAACGTCGCATGTCGCAACCCAGGGGGTGCCAATAAACTTGCACACAGCCATACATGCGGGTCAAGCTGGGTGGAAAGCTAGGCATGCCCTTCAGTGTCAGGTGGGGCGTCAAGCGAGGAGCACTGATGTTGCTCACATACCTGAAAGAGTTTTGCGAGGCTACATACTGGCATGCAAGTGAATGCGGCTTAGTGCAAGGTACTGTACTTCAGTACAACCCCAGCACAGCGCAAAGAGTGGGCCACATGTGGTTTCACACTGGGTGGTGTGCGGTTGAAGGTCCTAGGGAATAAGGAAACAGCCCGCTACCTAGGTTTGCACTACGGTGCTGGGCACAAATTCACAGACTGCATTAAGGAGCTTGTGGTGAGCATAGCTGAGGGCCACATGCTGAGGGCGATGACGCATTTGATATTGGGGGTGGTCGGGGGTGTCATGATGAGTAAGCATGTCGGTGTGTGTGTGTTTAGCCAGTCGCGACCAAGTCCGTGGACCATTGTGCGCATGGACAAGAGACAAGCAAACAAGCATTGCATCATAATGCATGGGTGATTTGTGTGTGCTTGTGAAAGCCTGCATTTGCAAATATTAGAGAGTGGCCGGGTGTCGTGCCACACACGCCAGAAATAGAAATAGAAATAGTCATACCCTGGTAGAGGCAAGTGGTATGTGTTAAGGGAGTGGGGAGGGATGAGGAAACAGGCCAGGCCCGTAGCCTGTACACTCCCAATACCGGAAGGGGTGGGGCGAGGGGGTGGGCCATGCCCGCCTCCCGCACGCTCTGGTTACACCCCACCGGGCCAGCCACTGCCGGGGTCGCCTGGTGGCTGGCCCCACTCGAGGCGTCGTCATGTGAGGACGATGTTATTGAGTGAGGAGACCACGTGGTCGTGCAGGGCGTTGCAGCATTGTCGTGCGGCATGTGCGGTGGCTCCAAGGGAGGTGAGTAGGGGGTGGAGGTCTTTGCGGATTGTGCCGGCAAAGCCCAGGCTAATGGAGTTTTGGGCGGTGTACTGTACTTTCCAGCCTGCCTCTTCCAGGGCGGCCTTGAGGTGTGCATGTTGTTCAGCTTTCTCGTGTTGTTTTGTGGTGTGGTTTGTGTCAGCAGAGTAGCCTACTTCGATGATGTGGACGGTGTGGTGCTGGCCGGGGATGATGCTGAAGTCGGGGGCGTGGGTGGCGGCTAGCATGATGGACGGGATGAGTAGGATATCCGGGCGGTAGTTGAGGTGTCGGCCCGGGGGTTGGCCATCTGTGTCGGGGAGGAGCCACACTGGGAGGCGATTGTCAGCGACATAGTCTGGGAGGTCCTCCTTGGAGGTGGCATCCATGACCATGTAGCAGCCGCCCATGTCGCCGCACGAGATGGGCCGCACGCACCATGTGAGATGGCCATGTGAGATGGTCACGTGGGTTGTCACTTTTTGGCTGGGCACAGTGTTCCGTGCCACAATGCCAGTATCATGTAGATGCCTGCAGGCCCCTGGTGCCTACACTGCGTAGATAGACACCCCCTCAGAAAAAACTTCCATGGGGGGCAAGCCCCCCCAAACCCCCTGTAATTCGGGGCCCAAAAGGTGAAAAAGCGTCTACATGCCGTAGACACATCCGTAGACACATACCCCACGGAGACACGATAGCTTCTACATTTTTCGTCCATCTGGGGGCGAATTTTTTAAATTCGGTCCCTCATGTAACCAATGCAATCTAATTTTTACACGTAGATGGAAGATAAGAGCACTGCCATGCCGGACACCAGGAATGGCACTGTCTTGTCCAGCCCTTTGTATGGCAGGATGAGCACATGTGATGGGTTGTACGCCTGCATGGGGAGAATGGGGCCGTATGGGTAGGGCGAGCCTCCAGGGTTATCTAAGGTGGAGGCCACGCTAGGTTCGAGAGACCAGGCAAGACCTGTGTACTGAGACCAGGCCGTAAGACCACACTTCGGCTGTAAGCCCTGAGATCTCTCCCCTCAACTCTGGTTTCTGGGCAATAGCCCCAAGCCCTCTGATAGGGTGTTCTGTAACACACGCTTGACTTGTCCTGACTTGACCTGTCCCTCCGTGTCCCACTGCACCGAGCACGCTAACCTCCAAGCGCCTGAGACTGTCAGCAGCAGTGTGAGGCCCCTTTCCCCTTACCCGTGCACAGGCTCCAGCCCTGCTCACCCCGAGCCCCTCTCTTCCCCTGTGCTCCCTGAAGGCTAGGAACCATGTGGTTCATGTCCCTGGTTGACACACTCAGGTGGATCCCGTGCCCGGACTCTCCCGTTACAGCTCTCCAGCTAACGCTTCTGCATCTCTATTCTACCTTCAGCTGATGCTTTCACATCTTGATCCTACCTGCAGCTCATACGCTTCCGCATCTCGATTCAACCTTCAGCCCATATGCTTCCGCACCCTACTTCGTGAGCAGCACTCTCCCTTGACAGCCTTTCACACACTTCAACACATATCGAGACCAGCAAGTGGTTGCTGTGCTTCACTAACCCAGCGTCTGGTCCTCACACCAACGTTGGGCAGGGAGCTTTCCCTGAACCTTGGGCACCTTCAGGAAAAAAATCTGTACATGTATATGCCTTTTGCACCCTGAGGGTCGTGCGCATTACAAGCTCCTTGCGGCAGGGAATACACCCTATGATTCATGGGACACTGTAACTGTAATACATATGCAAAAGTCTCAATCACCCACAAAACAAGTAGGGCCCCAGCCCATCTCAGTAATGATGCTGAGGCCGCCTACCCACCCGCATCTTGGCCACAACTGCTTCCACTAGTTCCTCCGTCAGCACTCAGTGCTGCGTGATTGGCTTTGTCCAGCTTTAGCAATGAAGAATGGCCCAACTGTAACCCACACGTGCGATCATGGCATCCTTGGCCATGCAGCAGCTGCATGCCCGATGGGCCCCTCCTCCAGAGGCAAACAGGAGGTGTGAAGATCAAAACCATGCGCCTTATGCATCTATCAAACCATGCACCATGCACCCGCCACGTGCGACTGCCATAATGACTGTGGCTTAATTAGCGCCATCAGCTGTGCGAGCCAGCCCCGCCTGATCAGCAGCACGAGAAGAGCCTGTGGTTGAGCAAAAGCAGGTGTTGGCCGGTGCAGTGTGCATCAGTCAGCGCAGCGACTTCAGGCAGGCACCTTTGGCGACGTGTGCGCACTCCTATGCAAGCCCGTCCTTGTCCCTAACATACCGCAGGAGGCCTCGCCATCGTGGTGCCTGCTGCGCAACTTGCAGCGCCTTGATATCCCGTTGCAGCTGCGCGATAGTGGCTTGCAGCTGCGCGATAATCTGCGCCCGCTGCGCGATAGTGGCTTGCAGCTGCGCGATAATCTGCGCCTGCTGCGCGATAGTCTGCGCCTGCTGCGCGATAGTCTGCGCCTGCTGCGCCTGCGCCTCTTGTAGGGCACGCAGCAGCTGCTGACCAGCGGCCGAATTAAGAGAAGCGTTGCTAGTTGCATCTGAGCCCGACACGGCAGACATAGTTCGAGGTCGTCTTGGCAGCCGATGCCGCAGTGCTCGTCTAGCGCGCGTAATATGCGTCGATATGCTGATATGTGTGAGACTAAAGTCACACGCCTCGTTCTCGGGCACTTGAGCGAGCACAGAGCATCGCTGTGACGCAACATTACAGGCAGGGCTGTGGCGCATCATTGGACGCTATGTTTATAATAAAGATATGCACGAACTTGCAAACGGGCACACCTTGCCAGGAGTGTAACGCCACTAAGGCGGCCCTTGGCTCACCGGGCCAACGGTCATCGTACCAACGGTACATCCAAGAACTATTCATAATCTTTCCAATACCAAACGGTATTTATCAATACCACCTTTTATCGTTGGATAATTATCTTCACAACCGCCCGGGCACTCCTGGCAAGGTGTGCCCGTTTGCAAGTTCGTGCATATCTTTATTATAAACATAGCGTCCAAATATGGGGGCGTCTTGTACGGTCTGTTTATTCGGCACAGTAGGACCGGACACATTTGTGCGAGGGGCTGCTTAACAAATCGAAGCGGAACAAATTTAAATCCTTGAAGACCTATCTAATGCCTTGTTTATTTCTCTGTGACGTATTCAAAGCTAAAAGTAAGGGCAGCAAATTAGTGTATAATACAAGTTACAAGTTACAAGTGCCGCACGAGTGCGGGGGTGTCCGTCAAAGCCGGGAGGCCATGGACTATATGTATTGAAAGTTGATTACACCGTACGACCGACGGCGGTTTGGGTCCTGCCAACTAGACCCCTCCTCATCCAGTCACCCAACATCCGTAGAGACAGATCAGCCACCACCCCCGCCCGGCCGTCAGGGCGATGGATTCAGGGCGATGACCTGGATCCACTTCGCCTTGCACTTTTTGATACAGGGCGATGGATGACGTACAACAAAGGTCACACTTGGCAAGAGAACATAAGCCTGCCAACTGAAAACAATTCAGTATTTCTTTAATGAATAAAAGGAATGAAATGCTGCTAAAACATCCAGTGTTGGAAAACGTAGGTGGCGCCGCAATGCTCACCCTCTGACCCACCTAATGCCTTGAGGAATCATAAGACATGATTGGATGGCGTCCCAGTCCATTGCTGGCACAGCAAGCTGACGTATGGATGCGCGGGAAGCCCATTACCCAATCTCTTGCCGTTTCGGACATAGGGACCGTATAGGCTTAATGCCAGCGTCACGCTTTCAAAGAAGCGGATGTGGATAGCGAAGGCTCCCTATGTGCGGCATCCTTTGATAGCGATGAGCACGCTCGCTAGTAGCGTGCGTCCTTTTACAGACGTGACGTATCGCGTGCGTCTTTTTATGCATTCGTGATAAGACGCGAATACATGTTGCATTCAATATTCATCATGTCCCATTGCAGAAGCTAGCTGCATGTGGGAAACTCCGATTCTGCGTTCGTGGGTTAGCTCACCGGTAATACCAGACATGCATATCTACCAGAACTCACGACGCATGGCAGAATCATTTACACAGGCCCTGAAACGTATAGTTCGATCATGAGGATCATAAATCTAGGAAAGGATCCTATCTCTTCATCGCTAAAATTCTCTCCAGACCACGTAAAACGACAAGGACACGAAAACGGACCCACGAGCAAAGTTCAGCAGCGAACGAGGATGGTATACTGAATAGATGATCCACTCGTTGGCCTCGTCAGGGTTGGGTTAGAAGCTCGCGCAACCCCGATGGCCAGGTAATGGACCTACTAAACACCACCAAACCTGAACAATATCTTACCAACATTCATATAGCGAACGTTATCAACCTATGTTTCGCATTCCTTATGCCATGCAAGGGCGCCCATGTGCATGACTCCCACTCCATTCTTGTAAAGCCTCTTTGTGTAAAGCCGCACCCCTTGCTTACAACAAGCAAATCAACGGCTTGTTCCAACATTCTTCATTGATTTTAAGCCTATATGGTCCCTATGTCCGAAACGGCAAGAGATTGGGTCATGGGCTTCCCGCGCATCCATACGTCAGCTTGCTGTGCCAGCAATGGACTGAGTACTTAAGCTACTGGGACGCCATCCAATCATGTCTAATGATTCCTCAAGGCTTTGTGCGGATCAGAGGGTGAGCGTTGCGGCGCCACCTACGTTTTCCAACACTGGATGTTTTAGCAGCATTTCATTCCTTTTATTCATTAAAGAAATACTGAATTGTTTTCAGTTGGCAGGCTTATCTTCTCTTGCCAAGTGTGACCTTTGTTGTACGTCATCCATCGCCCTGTATCAAAAAGTGCAAGGCGAAGTGGATCCAGGTCATCGCCCTGAATCCATCGCCCTGACGGCCGGGCGGGGCCACCACCACCATCTCAGCATGCGAAACTTAGTCCATCAACTAGACCTCATCTCCACACCTCAGCAGCGTTAGTAAACCTAGACCTCCCGAACAATGTCGGGGGTCTGACCAGGAATCGAACCCGGAACCTTCATATACACGAAGGCGCCACCAGACCAGTATAATAAAAAGAACGCGTATCGTATCAGGTAGCAGGACCGCATCGGACCGCTAGGCCTTTCACCTATGTTTAAGTAAGATAATTCTCGAAAGTGTTAATAGATCAACATATGTGGTGGACTCTCCGGCAGTTACGGAAACCTGCCTGTAACCTGCCTGCTTGACGGCGTAACAGCAAATTACACGCAGGAAGCAACTGTTAAAGATAGCTAACTTAATACTACGGCGAGAGAATTATATTCAAACTGACATAAGCGTTTGGAAGCGCTTGGGCCGCCCACAACAACACCTGACGTTTCTTAATTGCTCCAAGTTTAATTTGATCCAAGATATGCATTTAATACGAGAGAGCTGATCCCGTTGAGGCTAACAGAGCGAGTGCTTAGCTAGGCTTGGCTGTGTTTTATCACCTTGGTCAGGGAGGTTCTGGGGCGATGCTAGCAAGCGCCAGCTCACACTTGTGACACAGTGGCCGACAGTGGCCGCCGGAAAGGAAAGAATTGCGATACCTCCAGTCGAAAATGCTCAGGTGACGCCTGGGCCCTTTCGGACACCTTATACTCCTCCAGCCCAATCAGCTCCCAAGCTGTGGACCGTCCTGCTCATCCTGTGGGCCTTTCCGCAGCCCCGCCAACCATCGAATTTACGAACTGTAAAGCTTTAGATAGTCCACACTAGATATATCAGTATCAGGAACCCTGCGAGAAGCATCTGGACACCTCTGCACTCGCACTAATCTTAAGTACTGGTTTGCAAACAGGGCACAACAGGACAACATGGCTCTATAAGCCCCAACCTAAGCGCCACCGCGAGCGCACCTCCCGTTCCATTCCATGGGAACCTCCACTCAACCAGTTAAATACGTGTGGCCCCTGTGCCCCCTCCCAAATCAAGTATTCGCCCAGCCTCCCTTCCCCCCTCCCTTCCCCCCTCCCTTCCCCCTTCCTTCCCCCCTTCCTTCCCCCCCAACCCCACCGCCCAGCCCCGGCCCACACACGTCCTCAACTCCCCGCCTGCTGTATCCTGCAAGTGAGAAGCGCCGCCTGCAGCTGCCCCAGCGCCGCCAGCAGCGCCGCACTGCATCTGCAGTTGTTGCTGTACACGGGCCCTAAGGTCAGCGCCGTAAGGCCCGCCAGCCCCCGCAGCTCCCCAGCCATCAGCCCCGCCACCTCACTCCGCGGTGGAGGCGCATCCAAGTACAGCGTGCGCAGGTTGACTAGGCGGCCCACGGCACGAAGGTTCTCCAAGGAGAGGGGGGTGGAGGGCAGCCGCAGCGACAGGCTGGTGAGGGGCGCCACGGGGCGTGATCGCGGCGTCAGGGGCGGCAGCACTGCTGACGTCAGCGATCCCGTGGGCGCTTGGGGAGGTGCATGAGAGGTGGAGGTGTTGGAAGGCGGTGTGGCTGCCGCCGTAGTACTAGTGGTGGGTAATGTGTATGCTGCCGTACTGCGTGACAGCATGCGGGTGAGAGTGTAGTCCTCCACCACACCAGACAGGCAGCACACCTGGGGAGCCCGTAATGGGGGTTGGGGAGGGGGAGGGGGAACCTCAGAAATGAACTGCCCGACGGCGTCCAAAGTCGAAAGGCCGGGGGAGGCGGGGGTTGAGAAATAAGGCCCCCAGCGAAACAACAAGGTTTTAAACAGCAGTCGCCACTCAAACCGCATAAACAACAGCTGCATGTACACGTCAGCCCTGCCGTACTCTCCACCCGAAGAAAAAACCTTCAACACTCCCCAGCGCAATCCTAGGGCCCCCTAGTGCCTGCACACGAGGCCCCTCTACCGGTAAGCTCACCCCCACCCCCCTTTTCGCCGGCCGACGACCTGCAGCTTCCGCAGCCAGCCCAGTGCCCCCACCGCCACCGCATCCGCCATTTGAAGCTCCCCCGCGCGCCGGTGCTGCAGTCGTAGCTCCTCCAGACGAACCCCCACGGCCGGCAGTAGCCGCCAAAACGGAACACCAAACCGGCAGTAGTCCAGATGTAGCACGCGACAACGAGGCAGCAGCGGCGAAGCTGGCGGCGGCGGCGGCGCCGTCGCTGCCGTCAGCGTGACGGCGAATAGGCTGAGTTTCTTCACCGATGGCGGCAGCAGGTGGAGGGAGATGGTGGCGGGGGCGTCGCTGTCGTTGTGTAGGGTCAGCTGTGTGAGGTGGGTCATGTGGGCACCCAGCGCCGCCACCCCACAGTCTGACAGCTGCAAGGTACCTGCGAATACAAACACGGCCAGTCGCCGACAGCCTCCTGAGAGCGCCTGAACACAGCGGTCGGGGGCAGGTGGGGGGGGAAGGGTGGCGGTCAGGCGGTATGTTTTAGTTTGTAATGAATGCCCGGGAACAGCTGCTGGTGTCAGGAAAGGGGCTCATCCTGAGGATGACTGTTTGGCTCTACCTGCGATAGTTGGGGCTGTACACGGGGCTGTGCAAAATCATATTCAACATGGTCGTGTTGGTGACGAGGGAAATTAGGTGTGCATAAGGGGGAGTACTGCCGACGCCGAAACACACACACACGGACACGGCGGACTGTCGGTGGCACCTGGTTATACACCGGCACCTCTCTGGGAAGCCCCAGCCGCTAAGTAGCTGTGTCTACCAGCTCTGCTCTACCAAAGCTAAAGCGGTCCTAAAGCATGGGCATGCGGTCCTCCACTCGCGCTGGCACCCACTCTAAGGTCCCACTCTTAGACGCGCGCCGACCCGTACATCCCCCCTGCTTCCCCCTGACGATCACTCACTAACTCCCGCGCAGTCAGTGACGACTCCTAACGGTAGCAACCGACCCTTTGCTTTGTCGTATATGTACGAACCGTTCCCATTCCCAACATCGCAGCATATACCCCTCCCCTCCACCTGCAGTCTGGCGTCATTGAGCAGCAGTTGGGTACCACCGCAAGCTGCATCCAAGCTGCAACCGCCCACAGCCGCCGCTGCTGCCGCCGCCGTCGCTGTCGACGGCAGCCTCCCGTCGCCGCTTCCCCTTCCTCGCGTGACAGAGCTAGTGCCGCTGCAAGCTGCCCCTGCTGCCAGCTCTCCTTGCTCCCGTTCCTCCCTTTCCTCCTCCTCCCTTTCCTCCTCCTCGTCCTCGTCCCCCGGGGCGCTAGCCCCCAGCTGCAGACGAGTAAGGCCCCCCAGCGAGGCCAGGTGACTTACATTGTGACTGCGAACTGAGTCCAGAACCGCACCAGGGAGGGGCGCCAGCCTCAGGTCTGTCAGCCGCCTCAACCGAGTTAGGAGGGAAAAGGAGTCCTGGGAAGCGAAAAGGGTGGGATCGGAGGGCCAGAGGTTAGGCAGGGGCGGCAGCGGCGGCGGCGGCGGAGGAGGAACCCGAGGTCTATCAGCCGCCGTCAAACAGCTATTACGCATAAGGCCTCATCCAGGGCGGGTGCCACCGGCCTACGGTACCCACTCCACCTCCTCTCCCTCCCCCATCCACACACATCACCCCCACCTACCAGGTGTATCCCGGTCAGGTGCAGCTGCGTGAGGCAGCCAAGTGCCAGCGGTATCTCGCCCAGGATACCGGAGGAGGCCGCAGCCAAGCGGAGAGACCGCAAACCTGTGGAGCCCACGCAATCCAGTCCCAAGCCGTCACCACCCCGGCCGACTGCTGTCCCGCCGCCGTCGTCGCCATCTACACCCCGCAGGTCCGCCAAATCCGCCCAGAAGTTGTCGTACAGTCGCCCTTGCTCCTGCAGTACAAGCTGCCTCAGACGGCTAAATCGGGAGATGGGTTCCAATGCCCGCCAGCTGCACGGCACGTACGACCGCGCATTGCCACCGCCGTCAGCGCCGACGTCGCCGCCGCGGTTGATGACGGCGGCGGCGGCGGCTGCGGCTCCCGTGACGGGTATCTCACTGGCCAGGCGGAGGCTGGTGAGGGCCGTCAGGGCGGCGGAAAGGCCGGCGACGGCGGCGGCACAATCAAGACGACAAGATCCCCCGGCCCCGCTGCCCGTACCGCCGCTGGCACAAGCGAATAGCGGTCCGTGTATGGTCAGATCCTGAAGGTTCGTAAGAGCCGAGAGCCTAGTCGGTGCGGGGTGATGGATGGGGTGGGGTAGGTTGGGGTGGGGTGGCGTGGTGCGATGCGCGGGGTAAGTGTGAATCAAGAGTTTGAAGTGGAGGAACTATGTATGTATGTATATATATGTATGTGTATATATATACACATATATACACATATATACACATACATATATACATATACACATATATATATGTATGTGTATATATAGGTAGCAGTTGGCCAAGGCAGCAGTTGGGCGGGATGCTCCCCCAGGTTGCCAGGTAGCTGGTGAGTTGCCGCCAAAGCAGCCGCACGGAGCGCTCGGGTCCCCTAGCCGGTCATCAACACACAGCACAGAGAGCCGCCGCACCGCACCGCACTGCGTTGCACTGCACCAGACGAGACGAGGCCAGGGAAGTCTAGACCGGGAGGCCGTGGAGGCCGCCAGTCCGCTCTCAGCTGCTGTCTCGGGGCTGTTGCCCCTGCCCCTGCCCCAGCGGCCACCAACCTTGGCTCGCAAGCCAGCAGGGGCAGGGGCAGGGGCAGGGCCGGGGGGGAAAGACGAACCACACGCGATTGAAGCTGCTGCCAGGGCAAGATAGTAGCAACCGAAAGAACTGACCGAAAGGCGTCCGTGGCGACTGTGACGACTGTAACCTCGGGATGACGACTGTAACCTCGGGATGAAGAATTGACGTAGATGTTGGAAGTCCTACCTACCTAAGCCGCCAGAAATATTATAGCCAAACCGTAAACTAGTAGGTGTAGAAAAAGTAGTGAAGGCGGCGAGAAAAAATGCTGACGTAAAAGTGGCGTAAAGTTGCTGGCCAGGAGAGAAAGCTGCAGGGCCGGGGGGGGGGAGCAGTAGGAGCCGTAACCCGCTTCGGGACGCCTCTACCCTCCAGGGAGGTCATCAGCCCACCAGCCCAGCAGCACCCACATCGGGAAGGCAAACGCAATCCAACACCGCCGCCCAAACACCGAAGACCCCCATGTCGGCCGCCCTCCCCCCCTCCCCCCCTCCCTCCCCCTCCCCCACCTACGCAGTGCCGCCACGTAGACAAACTCAGATCGCTCCACGTGGGCCCTACCCTCCAGGGACAGCCGCCGCAGCGAGGTCACCTGCGCATGCGTACCAGGAAGGGCTTTAGAGGGGTTTCTGAATGTCGATAACACGCAGCCTCGTGTGGAAGCGGATGCCGGATGGGCGCGAGCAGAGTGCTGGTGTCGTAGCCAACTAACTAATTGGCGTATCAGGAAGACACGCAGAGAGCGCTGTGGGTCGATGTGGGTCGATGTGGGTCACACGCACCAGTTGGTTACACGCACATGGCGATGTGGGTCGAGGGCGAACTACTCAATCAGACGATGACAGTCATCAACGCCCTCAACGGCAGTCGGCAGCACAAATCCCACCTCCCGATTGTGGTGACGGAGCCACAGCAATACGTGTGCGGTACAGTTCGGGTGCGTATATGTATGTATGTAAGCCCTCTGGGCCGCACTATCCGGCGTGGCCGGAGCTTCAGCCCAACCCTATCCGGCCAGTAGGTACGCCTCTCAGCCAACACCGCACACCTGGGCTGCTTCCAGAAGCATCCTGTACGACAACACGCCAGCCAGCGTCAGATCCTCCAGGGCGGGAAACCCCACAAGGCCCAATCGCTCCCAACCGACAGCGCAACCATCAGGCGCCGCTACTGCCGTCGACACCGCAGCGACCGGCGCTGCTACTGCTACCGTTGCATCTGCCCTGGCTGCGGCGGTGGGTGCAGGGGCGGGAGGCACCAGGCCCCTCAGCACCAGCAGCCGCAGATGGGGTAGCCGGTAGAAGGCGTCCAGGGGGAGGGTGTGGAAGCCAGCCACACCCAAATCCAGATCCAGCGCCGTCACGTGGGAAAAACAGACTCCGCTGCCGCTATTGCCGCGGCTGATACTGCCGCTGATGCTGCCGCTGTTACTGTTGCTATTGCTGTTGCCTAAGCCAATCAGCGGAGCGGCGTACTGCTGCCTGCCCTGCGGCGGCTGCTTTTTCATCTGGGCTTGTGTCAACAACGCGGGTCCCTTTTGCTGCTGCTGCTGCTGCTGCTGCTGTTGGGTTCCTGGCAAGAGGAAATTGGGGAAGCGCAGCGACAGGCGTGAGCAGGCGGGGAAGCGGCGGTGCACGGCGGCGAGTTGACGGGCTGCTGTGCGCGGCAGCGGTGAGAGGCTGATGGCGGCGGTCTGGACTGCGGCTCCCGCTGCCGCGGCCCAGCCCCGGCACACCAGGCGACAGTGGGGCCGCTCGCGGCGGGGCAGGCCTCGCACCGCCAGCAGCAGCGCGGCATCTGGTAGGGAGGCCCAGTCCGGCCGGGAGCATGACGCTGCAACCTGTGGACATTTAGAATGAAAAATATGGAATTGGAATCAGAACGTGAGCGCGGGGGAGCTTGATGAGTTTCAGACGCGGGACAAAAACTAGGGACTTTTCAAAGAATTTAACTTTGATGCTTCGATATAACCTCTTGGGACGCTTATCATGCGCCTATAATTTGGCCAACAAATTGGCGGTCTGGCAAAAGTGCGGAGTTGCCCAGGAAGGCACTTGCCTGCGGCTGCGGACTCGCCGCGATGGTTAGCGCACTATCGGGGGTTGGAAGCGAGCTAGTTCGTCTTCGCGTAAAGGTTTTCATAACATTTAGGTTTGAACGGTATCTTGGAAGGTAATTGGCTAGGTCTGTAAATCAGTCGCTCAGGACCAGCAAGCCCGCCTGATCCGTTTTGGTGTTCGGGAGGTATCGGAGCACGTAAATACTTGAAAAGCTGACACTGACCAGTTGACTCAATATGGGATGGGGCATGGTAATACACATTACGTGACTGTTGTGCTAAATACAGATGTTTGGAAGCTTAGGCTTTCAGGAAGATTTCCAATTATCGGATGACCATGATCCAACGGTCGGGTGTGAAGTCGCGCTCAGAAGCGTAGCTGGCCATGTTGAGGCGATCAAACCGCTTGCATGCCTCCACACGATCATCTCCTATGCAGACGTAGGTATGCCAAGCGACCCAAATCCTGGCCGGCAAAACTTGACCGACCCACGGGCCACCGGCGAGTCTTTTCGCCAGCCTATCGCATTTAGCAGGCCTCAACCACGTTGCGCCGAGAGATGAAATTTACCTATTATGCTCTGGTGCCAGCCGTGGTCCCGACTCGTCAGCTAACCCAGATGGCCAGAAGTGGTGGCAAGCCGAAGATGCCGGCTGCGCCCAGCCTGACGTCGTGGAAGCTTGTAAGCGATGTGACGAGCATCTTAATCAAAGCTGCGTTATAGGTATGACGCTGGGCTGCACCTCTCATAGCTTACTGGCAGTACTGACTGACTCCGTACAAGCTGGATGCGCATTGTACGCTTGCACCATACAGTGATGCAGATAATGCATATGCAATTAACTATGCTGCGGCTTGAAATTGGTGGCCCCGCATCCGCTTTAGATGCAGATCTGGAAAATGCGCTATGCTTAGTCACGCAGTCATCAGCGTCGAAAGTGATGAAAGCACGTGCAAGAAATGTATCAAGGAACTTTTGTTGCTTAGATATGGTATGCTAAGCTGCTTTCCGTAGCACATTAAAAGACGCATTCGGGGCTGCAGCGATGGACTCTAACGTGTGCTTGAACGCGAACGTGACCTATGCTCACCGCGTAGATGACCCAGGTATGCCTGATATAGCTTAGTTACCCCATCAATTTATTTCCAGCAACAACAATGCACGCTTACCGGGTTCCGGAGGATGTGGACTACCTTCTTGCCTAGAGAAAGCTGGCCAGTCCACATGGAAGGGATGTCTCAGCAACCGTGGGCTCCTGACGACTCATCATTTATGGGGTCTCTCGCTGTATCTCTGCTCCGCGGCCTTGTCCGCGACCTGCGTCGCGACGACCTAGGCCATGCTCATGGCCAACCCTCACGGACTTTGCACCTGTACGCCCTTGTTCCCCTTTACCCCCTTGCCACAAAGCGAACTACAACTGGTGCATCGTCCCCGAGTCGGCATATGATGCGATCCTGTTCGCTGGAGTCGCTTTGCTGGTGGCATGCGTCGTGTCCGGGCGATTATCGGCGGTTTGGGTGCTGGTAGCAGGTGGGCATGCCCTGATTTCCCTACACGGCTCCTCTGGGGGTGTGGGCCAGATATGCCGAAGGCAGCGTGGCCGTGGTCATACCGAGCAACACATCACAGCACGGCACACCATACCATCCGCAGTTCGGGTGGCAGGGGGAGCGCAGCTGAAGGCTGCGGCTCCGCCTTACAGCCGTCCCTTTCCCCCTCCCTTCACTCCCGTAGAATATCGCATTTAGTCCCCTCACATTCACCACACACACGTCCAGGTCCGGGAAACCCTCGTCACACCGCCTCCGCCGGCGTGTATGTCGTTCTGTCAATCCGTTCGTCTGTCTGCTCGGGCGACGCGGTGACCGAGGGGCTAAACCTCCCTCCCGCCAAAACGCCAAACCTCCAAATGGCACCACCGCACTCGGCACTGGACCGCATTTGGCACTGGACCGCATTTGGCACTGGACCGCACTTGGCACTGGACCGCACTTGGCACTGGACCGCATTTGGCACTGGACCGCATTTGGCACTGGACCGCACTTGGCACTGGACCGCACTTGGCACTGGACCGCATTTGGCACTGGACCGCATTTGGCACTGGACCGCATTTGGCACTGGACCGCACTCGGCACTGGACCGCATTTGGCACTGGACCGCATTTGGCACTGGACCGCATTTGGCACTGGACCGCATTCGGCACTGGACCGCATTTGGCACTGGACCGCATTTGGCACTGGACCGCACTTGGCACTGGACCGCATTTGGCACTGGACCGCATTTGGCACTGGACCGCATTTGGCACTGGACCGCACTTGGCACTGGACCGCATTTGGCACTGGACCGCATTTGGCACTGGACCGCATTTGGCACTGGACCGCATTTGGCACTGGACCGCATTTGGCACTGGACCGCATTTGGCACTGGACCGCATTTGGCACTGGACCGCATTTGGCACTGGACCGCATTTGGCACTGGACCGCATTTGGCACTGGACCGCACTTGGCACTGGACCGCATTTGGCACTGGACCGCATTTGGCACTGGACCGCATTTGGCACTGGACCGCATTTGGCACTGGACCGCATTTGGCACTGGACCGCATTTGGCACTGGACCGCATTTGGCACTGGACCGCATTTGGCACTGGACCGCACTCGGCACTGGACCGCACTTGGCACTGGACCGCATTTGGCACTGGACCGCACTTGGCGCGTCGGCTGCACCCTAGTAGAGGCAAGCGCCCACCGAGCTCAGCTACCTCCGCCGCTCCCTACGATTATGTAGCAGTATCATCCCACACATGCGGGGCCCCTCCGTTAGCAGCTCCAACTTCTCTCAGGTCCCAACTCGGTGTACATGCCTTGCTTGTACGGTGTATATGTACGATGTATAAGTACGGCGTATATGTAACGGTGTGATAAGCTCAGCCGCTGTGCCCGGTGTTTCGTTTTCACCTCCGCCGTCTCCCGGCGGTTCCCAATCCCCTGGCGGGGTCCCCAGCACACTCCCAATACACACTGCACCCCTAGTAAAGGTAAGCTAGGACGCTCTTTCCCCCCTGCCTCAGGTAACAGTAACGGTTTTTGCGTTAACTCCAATCCGGACATAGCAGTGATAGTCCCTGGTGGACCCGACCTCCCCCTCCCCTGCCCCTACCTGTTTTTTCCCATCCAGGCGCTCTGTGCGAGGTCGCCTCCTACCGCGCCAATTTGGGTCGGTTCGGTAACAGCGTGGCTGTGTGGCTGGGGGGCATCCACCCCGGGGAGGTGTTCTTCTACACCTTCCTACCGCCACTGCTACTGGACAGCGCAGCCCGAGTGGACTTTTTCATTTTCAAAAAGGTGAGACACGTGACTTTGGGCGTGTATAAGAGAACGGAGGTCGGGGGAACATCGGGGAAATGAAATTTGCCGTATAAAACACACAACTGAAAACCCGAAGACCTGCCAGTCAGTTTACCCGGTCGTGTGCTTGTGGAATCGCTTTGGAACACAGGCCAAACGGCCAGGCACACACATACGTACATACGTACATACGTACATATGCACGTGTGCACGTTTGCACCAGACATACGTTATTGTTCTTCTTGTTATTGTTATTGTTCTTGACGGAGGATGTCGTTGTCGTACCCCCAGGTGCTGGTGCTGTCCCTGGTATTCGCCTTCGTGCTGGTGTGTACGACGACCCTGCTTGCCGTACCGCTGATGCTGTGGGTTTTGAGGCTGGGTCCCCGGTACGGTTGGAGCTGGGCGGACGTGGCGCTGTTTAACGCCATGGTGGCGTCCACGGATGCGGTGGCAGGTGGTTGGGGGTGGTTGGGGGGTGGTTGGGGAGTGGGTGGGGGCCCAGTGTTCGGTGGAGTGGGGGTTAATGGGTGGCGGATAGTGGGTGGCGGGGTAGTGGGGGTAGTAGTTTTGACTTAAAACCCTAAGTAAACAGAGTCCGGAGGGGGTGGGTTGTTAGGCAACAGGGGTTAGGTTCGGTGGCTTGGCGGGAATGGGTCTCGAGGGGCTGGGAGGGGTAGAAGCGGGTTGGCGTGCTGGGGAACAACCCCCCCGTTATGTCTCCCCCCTCCCCCGTTGCCCTTTCCCGGCCCTAGCAGACCGGGGCCTCGGCCCGGTGCCAGTACCGATCCGTTCCGGGCCTGGTTGCCCGGGCAGAGGGGGGTGGCGGGGGTGCTGCCTCGCCGCCTGGAAGAAGGGATCAGGGGAACCAAAAAATACTCATTATTAAGAGACGATTCACCTCACCCCTCACCTCACCTCTGCCCCGGTGAGAGCGGGCCACCGGCAATATTCTTTTCCCTGAACGAGCTCCCCACATCCCCGTCGTTTCAAAAATGTCCCAAACCCCTGGTGGTTGTCCGTTACCTCCCTCAACGGTTTCAGTTACCTCTGTCCTCCGGGCTGGTGGTGCTCCTGAGCTGCTGGGGGCGCTGCTGGAGGGGGAGTCGCTGTTCAATGACGCATCGGGTGCGGGGTGGGGGAGGAGGAGGGGGATTGAGGGGAGTACGAGGGGTGCATACACAGCGCGTGTGGGGCAGGCAAGTAGTCCCTATCGTGGGTTGGTAGGGTGAAGGAGGGAGAGAGAGGACGGGAAGGCATAGGGACCGGGAGGTAAGGGAGGCAGAGGAGGGAGGGTTCCGGGAGGCCAGGTGATGGGTGGAGTAAGGGGGGAGGGGGAGGGTGCTGGAGGGGTGGGGGGAAGGGCTGAGGGGGGCATGTTGGGGTGCATGCGCGGTGTGCGTGTTTGTACGCGATCTAGAAGGAACATTACGATGGTGCCGTGATGTGGTGTGGTGTGGTGTGCGATGATGGGGTTGCGCCTCAGCTCCCATTCCCGCAGCTTTCAG